TAGGGGTAGTATAGGAGTAATATAGGGTTATATTGGGGTTACCCAGAGGTTGTATAGGGTTATATTGAGGTTATGTGGGGTTATATTGGGGTTATATCGGGGTTAGGAAGGTGTAATATAGGATTATATTAGGGTTATATCGGGGTTATATAGGGTTATATAGGGGTAATATAGGGTTATATTGCATTATAGGGATATACAGGTTGCACAACAGGTTATATAGTGGTAATGTAGGGTTATTAGGTTATATGGGTGGTTCTCAAAATTATGGTCCCTTTTTGGGTACCCTAATTAGGTGCCGTATTATAATAGGGATCCAAAAAGGGCCTATAATTTTGACAACCACCCAAATGGGGTTATATGGGGCTATATTGGGGTTATATGGGGGTTACATAGGGGTAACACAGGGTTATATTGGGGTTGTATTGGGGTTATATCGAGGTATATTAGGGTTATATAGGGGTTATATGGGGTTATATACGGGTAACATAGGGTTATATTTGGGTTATGTAGGGGTTGTATAGGGCTATGTAGGGGCAATATAGGGTTATATTGGGGTTTTATAAGGTTACATTGGGGGTTCTATAGGGGTTGTATAGGATAAAAGAAGGTTATATAGGGTTATATTGGGGTTATATAGGAATAATGGAATAGAGAATGGGAACTACTATATTATGTTGGGGTGATATAAGGATAATGGAAAAATCTTCGCAGGTCATCATGATTGCAAGAGCAATGAGCAGGAAAATCGCTACTGGTACAAGAACCGAAGCACAAAAACTAAGTAACAAATTGCCACCTCTGCGCGTGGGGGTCACCCTGACAAACATCACTGCTACTCCGCCAACTTTCCAACAAGCAAGTTCGCAGATGTGACTCTGGGAAAGGCAGATAAGCACAAATCCAAATGGACGGGAACTCGTACAAAGTCAAGACACCCGCTCCGCAGTCGCCTCCGTCGGTCTCCCATAGCCCCTTGTCAGGCATGGGCAGTGACAGTCACTGCCAGTCGAATAGCAGCTTATCCAGTGGTGCTTCTCGGTGACGCTAAAACTAGCCGCTGCTACGGCCGCCAACGTGGTTCGAAACTACTAGGAGCGTCACTGTCACTGCAAGTTGAGCATCGAGCCGTGTCTTTCCAAAGCGGTGTTAGGACTCGTCGCGGCTACAGCCAAAACTGAAGTAGCTCGAGCTGTGCCTGCTGCTACTTGGTTTTTCACCCATGTTGATCATCATGGTTTTTGCAACAAGTGTGGCTAGCCTCATTTTACCTGACTACACCACCCGTTATGAAGTGCTCCCATGCTTGAAATGCAAGAACAGTTTGCTTATCTTTCTCACCCCTTGCGTGCACATTTGCCCAGTACCGGCAATGAAGTCCTCAGAAGTCCCTGGATAGATCAATTGTGCACCTTCCTCAAACTGCCTTTGGAATGATTAGAGTCGACTGCACACCCACCACACCATGCATGACAACTTGCGAAAAGCTCCTGAGTTGGTCCACTGGCTTTGCAAGGCGCTCAGCGTCCTCGAAGGAATTCCTGCGTATCTGTTCAAAGCATAGCAAGGTCTTAAAGAGTTGTTGCTCGGTGACGCTAGGCGTGAGTCGACTTTTGTGTGGGGCAGAAATTTGCCGAGGCTATCCAGCCTCAAGGCGTTTGGAAGCCTCTTAAACCCCCTCTACTCCTCCTGTGCTTTCTGTGCAGACCATTTCCCTGCCGTAGTGGGTGGCCTAGTCCCCCCGCCCCTCTCCCCTCTCCCCCCCCTTCCCTCTCCCCCCCTCCGGAGTAGCGGTGAATTGCACTTGCTGACTTAGAGTTTCGGACCCTGGAACGTAGTCCGGCCGGTTCTACGGGTGCGGCTCTCGAAGCTTGCGAACTCCCTCAGGAAAGGGCTGATGGACTAAGCCCATCCAACCCCTCCATGAATTCTGGAACAGGCATGCAGCATGCAACAAACACGTCTGAAGTGAGGCTTGCTGCGTTACTCCCTCGACCCTGAACCCACGTGTCAACTACATGCCATGACCTATTCTTGTGCTCCGCGCCCCGCCAGCCGAGGCGGGCGCGTAGCATTTATAATTATGCCTACGGCCCTACCTTCAGCAGAGGCTTCTCAAGAAAAACCATGAAGGCACTTTTTTGGCACAGACTTCACTAACCCAAACAAACGTCACCATCGCCTAGCTATCTGGCACATCAGCGTCTCCCATGGAATAATCACTTTCTGTTGGCAATTCTCCGGCAGTAACTGCTGAGCACTGCCCTGGGAAGGGAAATGATACTGGCGATAATAATGGTAAAAGAAAATTCAACAAGAAGCGTAGCGCCTCTCTGGAAAAATAACACAACAATCTCGGTAGCAACAGACATGGTACTAGCAATATTAGTGATAGCAATACTGCCATTACTGCCATCTCCTGGCAACGCGCCGCCGCGCTGCATCCTTCCATGGGGGCGTCCCTGGCTCTCGAGCTTTGGAGTGTGACCTGGGCTTTGCTCCGGTTGATGCTGAACGTTCTGATTGGGCCTAAGTGCCGCATGCCTTGGAGAATATGGTTCCATATGACGTAAGAAGTGACAGGCCTTTGGCGCGGAAGTTATGTGAAGACCACACACGGCCAAAGAAGTGCGATTTGTTCCCATCCTTGTCCGTTTGTCCTTTAATGCTCGGCAAGAGATATGCGTTCCCTGCTCGAGGACACAATGAAGCACTGCAACGAAGGTAACCACCCCTCCTGGAGCTACGGGAACGTGGCAGGAATAGTATCCCCTCTTCTGAGCGAAAGCTTTGTGACGACAAAATTTCCAGCTACGCTGTTGCGATTGCTGTTCCAGTAGTGACTGTCGTTGTGGAGTGTCTCCTGTCGGCATCCTTCATTTGGTTCAAGCTCAAGTAGAATTTCCAGTGCATCCTATTTGCGTGACACCTTTCACGATGCTTGCACGTACCTATGATCAGTCGGCGACCTGACATGCAACTGTGCTCCCAAAATCCCCGAAGAATACTTCAGAAGGGCCAAGACTACCTTTAAATAAAGAGGCCAATAAGGATGCCCCTACTCATGAATTGGGGGGGTCCTGAGGTGATTAGGTCCTGAGGTGATTAGGAGGGTGTCGACAGAGACTGTGGATCTCCTTGATTTCCTAGCTTTCAAGGAATTTACGTGTGTCTCATCAGAACCAACACCGAACTGTGATGAAACCTTTCGGGAGGCTTACTACTTGGGAGGGAAGGGCTCATTGGCAGTGGGAAGCGATTGGCGAAACATTTTCTGAGGTAGTCCTTCATCCATCTGAGCGACCGAAACAAAACAAATCTGGTAGTTTCCCAAAACGAGGGGACCCAAATATAGACCCAAGATATCCCAAGATACTATGATCCTTATTATGGGGACCCCCAACAGGTACCCTAATTTCAGAAAACCCCATCTCAGGTCCTGAAGACAAGCTTCACAGCACCGCATGGGCTATTGTCCAGGTGTTGGCAGTTGGCTCTCGATCTGGATCGAAGGCCTGAAGGGTGGAAACGTGGTGGTTGCCAAAAGCATGCAACATGCAGGGCTTCGTGTCATAAGCTTCTGGAATGCATCTTGCGAGAAAGGAATGCATATTTTGGGGAAAGAATGCAAATGCCTACGAGATGGGCTCCTGCTTCTTTACGTCCCATCTTCGGAGAACGAAGCCCCAACTGAGATATACTGCTTGTTCGCTGAGGCGCGAGGGGTGCAGGAGCGCTTCTCCTGAGTTGGCGGTGTTCAGAAGGGCCGGAGCTGACGGCAGTTGAGCCCTACCGTGCCGCAGGCATTTGAATGGAAGAAACAATTGGCAAGAGAGCTTAAGAATACCATACAACTGGGTCAGCTTGGACCCCGGAACTAATGTGCAACCCAGTTTCCTTGACGCACCTCATGGCAAAGGCAAATGCTCTGTGGACTCAGTCGTTTCTTTGAACACGTGTGGAACTCGCTTGCAAACTTTGCCGAGGTACAAGTCATCCCTGCCACGGCCTGGCCATCTCACTGGCGCGATCCAGGAAGAAAATAGTCCTGCAAAGGGAGTTACAAACACATACAAACAATGCTACCCTCATCTGCAGTCATTGCATCAATGATAGCCTGCAGGGAGCAATTTTAAAATGAATAACAAAAACACTCGAGCGCACCTGTCCTGTTACTGGCGACGCGCCGGCATGTAAGCTGCACATTAACCTAACTGCCCTCTCTCCGGATCCAATGACGATCCCTACAACTTTGAGCCTGGCGGCGATTGGAGATGGAAAGAGGCAGGTCCACTGAAATTAGGGAGTGAGAGCATTAGAGCATTTGATCTGGACACTAGCCCCACATGCAGCTGAACTGCTCAACACGCAACAGCATCAGGTCGCGGCTGAAAAATGCATGGGAGAGAAACAACCCTCAGCGCACTGCCTGTATCCCCAATAATTCTCGAACACCAATCCGAGTCTAGTACAACCACTGCACCTGTAGGCAACATCCTCCTTCATGTCTCTTGGGCTGCGTGCCTGAGTGAACACGAACGGGCTGTTACAACATGACTTGGCTGTTGCCTTTAAATGCCGAATCCAACGGAACAACGCTCCACCTGGCAAAGGCATTCATCAATGAGACAGTGGAGGACACCTGGAAGCCATCTTTCACTCACATGCCCCTCTATAACTTAAACGTAACATGCCCACACTCCTCAGAAAGCGGAGGACAGAAGCCTTCAAAACATCAAGCACAGGCTTCAAGCCAAGGACTCCAAGGTTTCTGCACAGACCACTCAGCGAACCCAAGATCTCATTCCGAACGAATCCTTCTGAGACTTCAGCAGCTGAGTCCGCACATACAGGACCCATGTCAGCGAATGCTCCTGACTGCGGCAGGGATATCTAGGCAAATAGACCAACTCGAAACTGAGAAAGGTGAAAGGATGCGACAAGCTCCGGGGCGCAAACCTTTTCGGTGAGGACAGGAAATTGACGCACCAGAGACTCTGCTATGCTGAACTGCTTGGGCTTAACGCGGCTGCCAGATCTTGTACTTCTTCATCATGCGCTTGAAGATGTGCTCACGGGAATTGTGGACAGCTCCAGCCTGCCCTGTTTTTTTCTCAACAGCAATTGTCTAAAGTTCGAGGCGACACTCGTAAAAGTCGAGGAAAAGCGACCAGTATGGCTGTTTCCACAGTTTTACTGCTACCTCAGTCGCTTCTTCATGTCAAGATCTTGCTTTTTACCTTGCGGATCAGCTTGTGAATCAGCCGTTTCAGTCAGATGCTCTAGAGACCTGTGGCGTAACTTTCTAAAGGAAGACTTTCACGGACATGACAGTGCAAATTGTTCCCTCATGCCCTGCCAGCACTGCTGCAAAGCTGGATGCACAAGAGACGGGCAGGCATTGATTTTCAATGGCCCTTGCGTTTGCTGCGCAGGCTGCAAAAGCAGTGCCTCAGGGCATCAATCAAAGCAACCGGCTCCACAATCGCTACAAGCAAAAGCCATTGCCAGCCTCAGCTTCGATATCGGCTGGCATGCTGGCGGAGGATCTTTGTTGTGGCATGCACAGGGCCATGGCCCTTCAGACTGAACCTCAACATCCGGGGAGCTGTCAACGGCAGATTCTATTGATTTTTCCCTCTGAAGGCTAACATTAGCAAACCTTTGTTCTGGGCCGAGTCACTCATAAGCTTGCTGAGCCCACGCGCCTGCTTCCTCCATGCGGCCCAAAGAGAGGCAGAATGTGTAAGCCTGAAGCAGCCAAGCATGCTGTTGGCTGGGTTTGGCCGGCCGCGGATTCAAAGATCAAGAAAGTGATTTGAAAACTACATAAACAGACTTACAATATGCGGAATCCGAAACCAGGATTCAGAAACTATTAGCGCGTGGATACGGAATCGCGCGGTTCAGCAGTAGTTGTTGGCGTCTGTGCTGGCAACGACGCGGCGCTGCAGCAGTCGTCGTAATCTGCACGGCAGTAGTCGTACTCGGCGTCTGTAATGAACGTGATGCGGCACTGCTTGCTGTGGATGATGTTGGCTGTGGTTGCGGGCCAATCTCAGAAGACCTCCAGGACATGATCACGTCGCTTGCTTGGTCAACGGCGCCCGTCCTTGCCTCTTGCTCTTTTGCTTGCCATAGATTCCTGCCACGCTTGGCATCTAGGTGAGACCACGTGAGAGACGGCTTCGGCCAAGCGCCCGTTTGTACATGAAATCATTTTGTCTGTTCGTGTTGGCACATGTGGCGCTGGAACGCTCCATATGTCTCCCATATGAATCTATTGGTATAAAAGAGCCAGCTTGTCAAAGTAACAAGGACAGCCCGGGGGCCCGGTCCATGTGTTCACAGCCTACTCCTGCAAGTGGGAGGTATTGACGGAATTCAGCAGGGTGAGTGAAGTGAGGGCTCTTTCTAAAATGAGCTGGGTTTCGACTTACAAAAGAAGAGTTTCCTATGCTGAATACGGTGCATGCTATACCTGATATCGGTCTAAAAAATCAACTCTTCGATATGGGGCCTCGCCTCCTCTCATAGATTTACGTAATATGTATGTATGTTGCACATCTAAACGCAAAGCCACAGGAGAGCTGACTGTGAACCCTCCCGAGGCCACGTATCCAATCCCAAACAAGCTGGCCGAGTGACAGCGGGAAATTATCCCCTCCACCTTCCCCCCCCTGTCGTTCCGCTTAAAGCAGAAAGTCAGCACCCCCCCTGCAAGCCTACGTTTCTGAGTAGGTTCTATAGGGGCAAATGAAAACATCTCAACCGTGGTGTCAGGATCGGCGTCAACCATGTCTGAATCGTAGTCTGAATTGGTGCAACAGTGGAGATAGTTTCTGAGTCGGCGAAAATAGTTTCTAGTCGCCGCCGATCACCGTCCGTGAATTCAGTTAAGTCCACACAGAATCTGGAATGCAGACCCGCTATCAAAGGAATTCATTTGAGGCCGACCGCTGAAGCTTCACGCACGTTCGAGTCTGTGGACATAGAGGCTACAAGTCCCATCCTGCACGGAGCCCCCGCAAAACACCCGGGGTACGAAAAGATCGGCAAAACACAAAAAAACATCCAAACATGTAGAGGACAAGAAGCCTGATAGGCCGCCACCTTTCTGAAGCTGGAGATGGTCAGCCCCTGAGCAAGCGAAACTGTTTCCTGAACCTTTTGTTTTGTCAGAGCCCTCTCACCCCTGAAGCCCTGCCACGGATCGTGCACACTGACATGTGAAACACGCCAGTGTGATCTCTGGCCTGGGCTTTGCACCCTGAGGTTGATGTCGCGCAGCTTTCTGAATTGAAGTCCACAGCATATGCAATCTAAATGTCATATGTACCCCGCAAGGATAACTCAATGTCACAAATCTCCTGAGGACGAAGGAGGCCTCTTCATCGGAGAGCTTGAAGGTTTCGTGGATCATGTCCAAGGCCTCAAGGGGGCTTACGAAAGCTCATGCAGAGGGCCCGGACCCAAGGCAGTAGAAGAGGATTGAGGGGGGTGAAAGCGTGCCCAATTCTTCACAGCTTTGCCACCCCCATACACCCCTATTTTGGTCCTCCAATGACGTCCAAAACGGACCCGATACACTCCGATCATGGCCCTCAAAACGACCCCGAAGGCCAGCTCCGGAATTGGTTTAATTTTGGGGTTCTCCCCCATGCCCGCTTGGACTGATCACTGAAGCTGTGCCTTCAACGAAACGTTCTCCTTTCAGGCAGTTTCTTATTAGGGCACAGTGAATGGGACTAGGAGCCCTTCTACCTTTGCCCCATCCCCAAAAATGTAAGACGGCGTTTGCAGGCTTCCTAACTGGCACAGTCTTCAAGCCTCACTCTTGGCTCTTTGCCCTCAGCACTCTAACTCAAGTATGCCTCTCGACCTGTGAGTCAGCTGCAGTCCATACTACGTACCCGTGTGAGCGTTTGAGATGAACCGCAGTTGCACTTGTCGAGGCAATGTTCATGAAGATAAGACCGGTTTATCTTTAGAATTGGAGCTCTGCACACGAGAAAGAGCATCTGCTATGCCTTGCTTTTCCTGGTTGTCAGTACCTTTCCTTTCTTCTTTGCCCGCATTACCTTTTACCGCAGCCGCTCTTCCTGCCAGACCTTTTCTGACAGGACAATTCCTCACGATCTGGTTCTCTTGTCCCACCATTTGAAACCTTTCCTGGGCTGTCCGAAAGCAATGCGCTCACAACCCGCGATCCTAAAAAGTCTCAGGCAAAACCTACAGCATTCTGTGAAACTGTGTCGGAGTCTGTCTCCGAGTGCCCTGCTCCCCCCCCCGATGCACAACCGCAGACATGTAACCATTGCGAAACATCCTCGCCAGCTTCCAGACACGAGGACTCAGACTAGTTTCACTTGCAGCGATAAGCGACTAGCTCACGATGATTGTCGTGTAACATCAAGCAAGTTTAGAACTTAGGTATAGTCCGGTATCCTGATTTTTTTTGTCGGAGGCCTGCTCGGCGTCCTCACAGTGTGCGATTTCCTCCGACAGATCCCAAAGCCGGCGACGTCGTGCATCACTCGCAGGGTCTGACAGAAGTCCAGAATGTCAGTAGACCAACTCAGCCCGTCATGACTGATAAGAGCTTGTTCATCGCCTGCAGAGCTACACACCGGGCAGGCACACGTGAAGCCCAGCGACTGCAGCTTCTCCTGACAGGAGACGCATAACTGTGAACAAAGTGTTGATGAGAGATCCGGTAGAATTTTCAGGTTCCAGCTGCTATGGCCTGTCGCAGATCCCGAGGTTTGCAAACGTCGGTGTAGTACACGCACAGCTCATCTCCGAGTGGAATATCCTTGCATGGCACATACCGAGTGTAGGACAGGTAACTAAGCAGCACTGACAGACAGCCACCTCAGAGGCGTAGATTTGCAGCAGCCCTTGCAGGGGCGCAGCCAAGAAATGCAGTGACTCTAACGGGTCATTCACATGACTTGAACGCAACGCGCTGTGGCTGGCAGGCCTAGGCGATCATCCCAGCTTCCTTCGCAGTTTGGGCTGCAGGAGTGGTTGAAGCGACTGAGCTCCAAATACCTCACACAGGAAGGGTGATTGCGGAGCACCTGCATCCTTATGCGACTTGCCCAGCAATCAAAAACACTTCTTGTGAAGAGGCGGTGACCCATCATGACACTAACCTAAACCTGCTCCCACAGATTGTTCACTTCATAGCGAGGCCCACGGAACCCAGAGGGGAGCAAAAGGTAGTGCCAGAGAAACGTTCAAAGCAAACCAACACTAAATCCAAAACAATACGGGGCAACAAGCCCGGCACACGTGCAATACTGAGTCATACTTGAGTAAACAGGGACAGGCTGGACTCTTGGCCAGACAGGGCAGACTGGAACAGCACCCTTTACAAGAGCGCCTGCCACGCTCACAGTATGGCCCCCAATCATCATGCCAGTCTGCATAGAACTCCAGCGTCAAGAAGCAATACACGCTCGTCCGTCTGCTCATCCCAAGTGTCATCCAGCCGCTGACCATTCTGGAAAGAGTTTGTTCCGGCGACGCCTAGCAGCCTCATCTCGGAAGGTGCAGCACGTTCAGCCCTGCCAAGGAGGCTGCCATACGCTGCTTGAGCTCACCGGTTGCATCTGAAGAGCGTCTTCTCTGATGCAGAATCTGCGAAACTATCCTGTCAAGTGGCCAGCGCTTGTCCGCCTCCAGGAACCTTTAACATGTCTGCAGCGCCTGCAAATCCATCACCGCCGTCTGCTTATCTGGCGGAAGAGCGTTGAAGAGCCTCTGCAACTCCTCCTTGTCATGACAAATACTGTTTTACATGAGGAGAGGCACCACAGGCTTGTGGCCACCATTGCTTTCAGCGCGTCCTCGTCCTCGCCTGTCCATTGCAGCACAGGTGCCTGCCAATGGGCTTCATACTTTTTCGCTGTGTGGTCATATCCTGTCATATCTAAACTTGCATGAGGATCAAGAGGGGCTTTGCACCACCACCGCCTCCTCAGCAACCATCTCCCCTGAAAGTATCTGGCGGGCAGCGACTGCGCCAGCACCTGCAAATTGCAGAATTCCTGTGAAAAAGCGTCGCTGCAGAATCGCAAACAAGCCTGCAAATCCTTTTCATGTGACCAGAAGCTGCCTTTGCCCGGCATGGACTGCACCAGATAGCAAGGCCTGCAGAAACTCCACTTGCAACATACCTGCAAACTGGAGGCCATGCAGATCGTGTGTGTGTGTGTGTGTACTAATGCTGTCTTGAAGGGCAGACGCCTTCCTCAATTTTCCACTTGCCACTGGACAGAAACACAGCTTAGCCTGCCCCTTGTATCACAAGTCATGCACATCACTGCATCTGAGAGCCAACTGCACAGTCTTTCCGATTCCGTTTCAGAACCCAACTAGCTACCAGCGTTCAACTTAATTAGTATGCACCTAGCTCGAGCAGCTCTCAAAAGCGCAGACACAAAACTAAAAACCTGTCAGCGTTCCAGGCGAGCACTGACGGTGGGGATGCACGAAAATCCAAATTTCGTGACCCAAACTGATCTTGCCCCTCTTTCCGAGGGCCTTCAAACTCAAGCATGCGTCACGTTCCGCACGTGGAATGCCGAATGAGCATTAGAGCTCACGGCTGACGCGACAGCCAACGGGAAACCTAGAGATCACGAGTCCCTGCGAAATTGGACAAAGCAAAGATTGCCAAGGACTGTGCTCCTGTCTTCAGCTGGAATAGTGGGACAAGCCGAAGCAGGAGCGGAACGTCTTAGTGAAAAGCTCGAATCATGTCTGGTTCATCTCTCTCGTGGTCTTAGCCGTCCTCCACCCCAAGGCAGTGAGGCAGCGAAGACCAGCGCTTCATCATACTTCACCATCATCATCTTCAGTTGCATTCGATTTTGCAGCAGCCAGGCATCGAGCTGATAAATCCTGAGCAAAGCCTTTGTATCGGCGCGGATTAAGGCCGCTACTTCACTCCTGCATCAGAGAACGTCTATGTTTTCAAATTACTTGTTCAATGCTTGATGATGAAGAGCGGCCTCACATGAGCTGGTATCCAAGATGGCGCCATGGGGCTAACTTGGACAAGGTGACAAGAGCTCTTGTGAACGAGGCAGCTATGGCTGACAAGAAGGTAGGAAGAGCGGGAGGAGCTGGGATGATCCACACTTCTTGGCATATACTGACACACTGCTGTCACCAAACAAGGTACGCAGTGCACAAAAAGTGCTCAGCTCCACCCACGGTCACCATCGTTACAACAAGACACGACAAGGGAGTCCGCTCCTGTTCAAGCGGTCCTTAAGTCACAGAACATAGCACTCCTAACTGCACGAACCAAGTGTCAGAGACACACATCATTCCTGTCTGAGTCAAAGAATGCACAAAGTCTCTCCAACACTAGTCTCCACCGCAATTCGAACTGAATTTCCACGTGGACTCTCACAGCCAAAAGGAGGAGCCTGTGAAATCAGTTGTTGCGGCCTGGCAGGCCCCCTTCAACTGACCCCTCAAGCACTGCACAAAGTCGGGATCAAGGTTGGGATTCTTCTGCACAAAGTACACCATCTGCTGGCAGCTCATCCTTGACATCGCTTTCTCCAAGTTGCGCTGCGTGGCACCGGCCATGGTACTCTCACGTTGGGAAGAGAGTGCCAGGCGGTCGTGAATCAGCTGCAGGACAGGGAAAAAGGTATCGAAAAGCCCAGCTTGCTTTGCACGTATTGAGAGTTGTGTCAAGAGCATTTCGAGCAACTCTCCTTCACCTCGGTGCACATCACCCAAAAAGTTCATCGCCAAAAAAAGGCATCTGTGCTTGAGACTCCACTCCCAAATAAATCTCAATCAATGCACTCATCGACTTCACAGCTGCACGTTGCTTCTTGTCAGGCTTCACACGGCCGGCACGGCAGCCTGGCACGAGTGCACACAACCGCATAGCAAAGAGTTGCAAGGCACAGCAGCCCCAGAATACCCAAAAAACTCTTAGACAGGTGGATCATTCAAGGAGATGCCATGTGGCTGCCGTCTTGCTGTCATTAGCTGAGCAGCTCTGCGAAGCTGTACCATCCGAGGCGTTGTCGCTCTCCGCAAAGATCGGCCCCAAGAACGGCTTGTCATCTAAACTCCCATGTCCATCTCAGATGCCAGGCTGACACTCACCACTGCTTAGTGCATTGACTCACTCTGTGAAGACGAATGCAAGCAGGCAAGAAAGCATGGAAACTAGACAAAAGCTATAAGCATCCACAATCTATGTTCAATACGGATTGCTACGTAACTAACTTTCTGCCCTGCGAGCTCCAACCTACGCAGCAGCCAGAAGCAGCTCAGGAAAGGCAGCACATGAATTACGCTTCCTGATCAGCAGCTCGTGCCCTCAATGTCCAGCAACTTCATCACATGAACAGCATAGAACACAGTTCAATGAAAGTGTGTTGTATGTTGCTGCCCAATGCCGCCAGTCACCAGCCAGAATGTCCAGGCCAGGAGGGGGCCTTGTGCCTGGGGTCACAACACTCCGCAAAGTTGTGAGTTGGTAGAATACTGCCAGCCAACGCAAACAAGTAGCAGACCATGTTGAAGAATTGCGGTGCTGAGGGTCCTCAACATGAGAGCAGGCACACATCCAGTCTTTTGGGCGCATGTCACACCAAGAAGCCAGAGACAAGTGACAGATGCACTGAACTGACCCTGGGCAGCACTAGCCTTCCGAAGAAGTGCTGCTGCGTTCACCATTTTGGGCTGTGAGCAATGTCGGGCCACAGTACGACAATGCCACCATCTCCCTCGGCTGCGATGGACTATGGTACTCTTCTGTGTTCAACTACCACGGGCATTCTTCACACGTGCAGGCTGAATTAGTACTTAGAGGACGCTGAACGAGCGGGGTAAAGGCGATTCGCAGCAGTTGTCCTTGCAGGTCTCTCTCATCTGCTTGACACGGGCCTGTCAGCAAACTGGACCTGTATTAGAAAGCCAGGTCTTGTGTTCCTGTCATAAGGGAGCATAGCATGTGGCGAGCAAACCTGAACTTGGCCAGGACACGTGCGGTTGCTGTTGTTCGGCCAAACGCGAACGGCAAAGCCTTTGTGCCCTGTTAGCTAACAGCTGCGGTGAAAGAAATGGCAAATCAAGCGCATGCTCCAGCGCTGTTGTCTGTCTGAAGCATTTTGAACTGCTCTGCCCCAAGTTGGTCAACGTCACCAGCATCATGAGCAACATGACTTACCACCACCACCACCACCACCACCACCACCACCACCACCAGCAGCAGCAGCAGCAGCATCAGCATCATCATCATCATCATCATCAGCAGCATCATCACTATCATCATCACAATCATCATCACCATCCTCATCATCATATTCATCATCATCATCATCATCATCATCATCATCCTCGTCGTCCTCGGCGTCCTCGCCGCCGCCGTCGTCGTCCTCGTCGTTGTCCTCGTGGTCGCTATCATCATCAACATCATCGCCATCGTCGTCATCATAGTCTTTGTTGTCCCTGCCTTTTCCTGGACGTTGCCATGCTGCTCGTCCTTCGTCCTCGTTCCTCGTGCTTCGTCCTCATCGTTGTCCTCCTCCTCGTCCTCCTCCTCCTACTCCTCCTCCTCGTCCTCCTCCTCATCATCGTCGTAGTCGTCATCCTTGTGGTGGCGGTAGCCGTCGCTGCTGTCATCGTCTGCAGCCGTCGCACTGCCATCACCCTCGCCATCGCCGTAGTCATCACCACCACTATGCTTGGTGTCAGGAAATTTCGCTTCACGACTATTACCGCTATGGCGTGTAGCATCACAGCTGCTCGGCCTCGACTCAGCCCTGCGGCTACACACGAGCCGACGGCATCCAAGAACAGTGAAGGCCGCAAAGCGCAACTGACAGAGCTCTGGGCTGTTGGGCTGTGATGGCTTCAGGGATTCGCGATGTCAGTCTGGCAGGCTTGGGCATTCTGAGAGAGAAGATACATCGTCGTTGTTATTGTGGCTGTTGTGGTGACTGCTAAGTTTTGTATCCAGACCCAGAGTGCAACATGACTGTTGAAAGGCTTGCCTGCAGTATAGTAGGATCAAGCGGTCCCCAGCCTTCGCCTTCTTGGTGAAGTCAGTGCCGTTGTCCCTTCGAGAGTCAGGCGAGCAGGCCTCACAGAAACACAGATGGCAGGGCTCTGCGATTAGCTCAACTGTAGCAAAAACAACGGGGGAGCTCCAGACCATCATTTTCACGTGGCCAAATCAGTTTGTGGAAGGGTAAAAAAAAAACATCCGCAACAGTCGGTTCAGCATGTGTGGGTACTGCCTCCACGGAAGCTCTGGCTGCAGTTCCCTACACGAGAAAAGCGTCAGGATGGGTTGCACTCGATTTGCGAGCTGGGCATACTCATGCGTAACAATGCGTCGTTACTCTTCGGAAAAGCAATTGATGGCCGCACTGGTAAGCCTAGCTCGGAATATATGTCACAGATGCTCCTGGCCGTGCCACAGCCTAGAGGATCTGCAAGCAAACCACCTGAAATGGCTTCTGACAGTTTCTGTCGAGCCTTTTCGTGACTGCTGCTACCAAGAACCGGAAAAACCACGAGCCGCTCTGCAGCCCAGAGCTCAACCGGTAATGCCTTGTAGCAGTCGCTACAGCCTCGACAGTCTGACCGCTCTGTGTCCACAGAAGTCTCCCGAGCACGCATACGACAGAGTATAACTTCTAATTCTAGAAGAAGATCTGCAACAGCAAGCATTGATCAACTGTCGGGGTACTCAAGGAATGGCCGACGAAGACATAATGTCATCAGCAGCCAACGGTCACATGCTCGCATGAATTGCGTCGAAGACAAATTGGTCAGGTTGCTCCCTTTGGGAGACGCGAAGGAAATTTACGAACACAACGGGCTTTTACGCACACAGGGCAACCATCATCTTTATTCTCACTTTTTTGGGGGGTGACACTCAAAGCAGACAACCTTTTGCTTCCCAGCTCGGCCTCTCACAGCCAAACTGAGGAGGCTTCAAATACCACGGTGGCTTGGCAAGAGCCCCTCATTTGCTCCCGTAAATTCTGCATGAAGTCGGAATCCAGGTTGGGGTTCTTCTGCATGAAGTAGATCATCTGCTGGCAACTCATCCTTGACATTGCTTTGCGCAAATTGCGCTGCGTAGCTCCGGCCACGGTGGGCTCAGCTTGTGAGCGCGCCAATCGGTCGTGGATCATCTGCAGGACAGGGAAGAGGGCATCGTAGCGCGCAGCTTCTTTTGCACGAGTCGATAGCTGAATCAAAAGCATCTCGAGAAGCTCCCCTTCACCTTGGCCCACACCATACGTGACCCCACAAACAAACAAGTGGCATGCCACCAAGACGTCACCCTGCATGCCGCTGAAGGCACTCATCATGGCGACGGCAGCACGCTGCTTTTTGTCGGGCTTCACGCGCCCCGCATGACAGCCTCAGCTCTCAGCTTGCTTTAGCACAAGTTGATTTCCGAAAGTGAGGATGCCCAACATCTGAAGCAAGGAGCAGCGGCAGAAGAGGCACTCAGATCCTTCATCGACGATGTCCAATAGCTTGGCGGACTGATTGGCAGCACCTTAGATGATGCCGGATCTTTCTGCTACAAGCCAGTCACATACCATGCGCAACCCTGCCCAGATGCAAGTTTCCCGATTCAGCGACAAACCGGGCGGCGGCCTAATGCCTAAGCTGGTTGAAAGGACAATTGCACATGATGGCTGGCGGACTTCTCTACATCATGGAAAGAAAAATCGTGTAGAAGGTGAGCTGGGCAGGGGGTCGTAAGAATTTGCCACATCAAACAGGTGGCCCACCAAGCTGAAGTCCATTGGAAGTCCTGCGCATGAACTGCTCTTGCATGCTTAGACCGGGGCACACTCTCCACATGAGTGCAGCCACATGCGACTGGAGAAGCCTGTTAGCTCGCCACTGCCCATCAAGCTCTGCTCGCCCTGCACAAAAAGCTGCGACCTCGACAGTTGCAACAGCAGAGTCAATAGCAGGTCGTTTCAGAAATAATGGAATACAATCCAAGCAAAAGAACTGGACCGTCCCAAGCAAGCTGGAGCCAAGGTGAGCCAGGCTAGAGTGATTAGGACCAGCTGCTGCATCTGGGATCGCGTTGAATCCGCACAGGCTTTGAGATGTACGAGCTATCCTTTTTGCTTGATGGGCTCAGGGCGGCAGCGTTCAAGATGTTGGCAATCTGCAATTCATGTCTCCATTCGCACGATACAGCAGTTACATAATCCAAGATGAAACTCCACAAGTGTCCGACCTTCTATACAACTAGGCATGCGAACTGTGTGCAGCTTGCGCCTTCACTGCATTCGCCAAGTTTGGGGAGGGCCCACCATTGGGTTGGGAGACCTGCGAGTGGGCAATGGCAGTACATGCACCATTCTGTTGCTTGGATCGAACATGAAACCTCAGAGCCCTGAAAGAGCGAGACACTCATCTTGAAATCAGCAGCCATCCTGTTCCACTTGAAACCACATGACGAAAGATGTCCAGCAATCATCCAAGCAAGCGGAGGTAATCCTAGTTCTGAAGCCTTCCAAAGTAAGAATGCTATGCTATCCAGCTGTGCAAACTTGTTTGCAGCGGACTCCGCCGGCCTGTGGCAAGAGCAATGGGCTTGCATATGCACGTGACGGGCCAAAAAGCATTGAAAACAAACCAGAGGGCTGGGGACTGGCATGCTGGCTGCTCCTTACAGTCTGTGATGGTCAGCGCATAGGCTGGGATCAGGTGCAGAGGTGCTGACACCACATGAAAAAAAGTAGTCCATCTGCATGCAAGCTATCCAAGCTATGTTACTGAAAGCCAAAAAGGAGCAGCGAGCCTTCTGTGTGTGAACTGGTCAGCGCGAGGCTCTTGATCTCTCATCACATCACCCCCGTGCAGTTGAGAGGTTTGGCTGTGCCACCAGGAAAGCACGCACGGACTTTGTTGAAAAACAACTCCCTGGGCTTTTTCCCACGAGCACCTGTGAGCCGGCACCCCGAATTGCACGTTGCATGCGTAGAGCCATGCAAGCATTCGTTCGCAGTCCTGCGTCTCCTATGAGAACACATGTGCCGAATGTCAAAAACCTTCACAGACAATGTCCCGAACAGTTGCTGCCGATTGAATGAGTGAAGGAACGAAAGTCACTCTACAATTGTGCAAGTCGACTGCAGGCTTGTCAAGTCATCTTTGGACTGATTTGAGAAAACGTTTCGCAAGCTGCACCCCACCTCCTGTCAGGCTGAATTCCCTCTATGGATTCCACTCGCCCCTTCTGGCCACGTACACAGCAGCAGGATCACGGTATGGTGCATTAGCCAAACGGAAGTCTATCGCAAGTGCACTTGCGGTGCAAGTACTATGAAAGCCTTTAAGGTATGATGATGTGCTCATTCGCGCCATGAGACTGGGCTGGATTGTGTGTCCTTTCGCTTGGACCTCCTCTTCCAAGAAAGAAGAACACGAGAATAGTGGCAGACTCTTGCAGGCGGAGTTTTGCGGGTGCAGGCCCTTGATCTGCAGCGCTACGCACATAGCGAAGATTCATGGAATCCGCAACTGCATCAAGCATCGTCAGTCTCTAAGCTTCGCCTACGTTTCATCTTACGATGAGCAACTTTTTCTGGGTATCCGAGTCGCTTACTCGTTATCAGGCACCGAAGAGACTGTGCGAGCTTCAGCTGTTGCGCCTAAACTTTCAGGCCCCAAGGCAACAAGTTGCCTCAACCAGCAGCCTGACAAAGGAATGCCACTAAGCAAACGGCTTCCAATAGTTTGCAAGGACCGTTTCCCTGACACATACTAGTCAAAGCTGACTAGAAAGCGAGTGTCCCAGAATCGTTTTGGAACAGCGAAAGCTCCATAGAAGCAACCCTTCGAAGTCAGCGCCACCAGCAGCAGCAGCAGCAGCAGCAGCAGAAGCAGCGGCGGCTGCAGTGGTGGCAGCAGCGGCACTCGGCACATTAGCATGAGCATCAGCATACTTGTCATGGTTGCCTTTTCATTGTCATCCTCGCACGCGTCACACACAACACTATCCACATGCATAGGCGGCAGTGCATAGACTCCGCAACCCCACACCCCGGATCCAAATTTTGTTAAACCTAAACTTCGAACCCCAAATCCTAAATCCTAAGCCCTACGCCTAGTTCCTGAGTTGAAAGTAAGTCTACATCCTAAACTGCAAATCGAAAGTTGAAATCCGAACTGGACTTCATGGCCCTCTGCGCTAGACGTTGAAAAGCCGTTTGAAATTAGGGCCAGCCACATCTGGATTTTTCCGCAAATCCTAGTACTCATACTCATACTCATACTTGTTCTACTCATACATGTTGTAACACTGGTTCAAATACAAACACTGACACAAACTTTAGAAGCATCTTCTTCCCTGTCACTCTATGCCTCTACGCAGCTTCCAGCCGTAAAACGCCCGCGTTTGCTTTGGAACGCTTTGGCTCGGGGAGAAAGCTACGAAGAATCCTCTTTGCGCCATGTGCGCTCGCGACTACCTCGCTTAACAACTGAAAATGTTTGCGCTTGTGTTGCTTATCGTGTTGAGTATTTGTTCTGGTGAGCTTGCGCAGCCGTGTAAAATGCGCTGTCTGCCATGAAGAGCAGCTCGCCTTTTCAAGAGGTGATGAACCCAACGTATGTCATCAAGCTTTGAGGGGCACAGCCGGCGCCATTAACTTGCAGAACCGAGCAGACCCATCGTAAACCATCAGCACGCATAGGTTGCTACCATGGAAGATCGGGCCGAAAGCATCACACTTCATCGCGGTCGAAGGTGAACCACTAAACCATGAACCATGTTGTTGTCAGAACTTCTTTTGACACGAACCGGCAACTGATCACAGCGTTCTGATCATTCTCCTTAGCATTGCCGGAACCATGGTAGCCTGTTTAAAAACGTGCCGGAAAGCCTGCCGCAGCAGCACCCAGTTTGCACGAGTACCGCCAGAAAGCTGACAAGAGTGCCCCACACACCCTAGCACTGGACTGGGGCTGAAAAAGGGCACTGGTTGCAAGGTACGCCTTTGCCCTTTGTACCCAGGAGGTCGCAGCCGCCAGTGATTCCACAGCAGGAGTGACAGTATTGACCTTTGGGAACCAAGCACACCTGCTCAGGCTCGCCCCCAGTACCCCAGCCACAGGTTCTCCTGGCACAGCGCACGTTTATGCCACGACATAGCCCAACCCACGAGACCACTGCGGCATAGTAGAATCCGGTTTGCCACCATCGGCGCATCTGTCACCAGGAGGGTCCGATGCAGTCCCAGTGGTCTTGCACGGGGGACTTAGGTCCACGCTTTAGCCAAGTTGCAGTGCAGCCTGCTTAGCCGCCCTCTGACAACAAAATCTGAAAGGCACGCACTGTGAACTTGTGCACTACTAACCTTCAAAGCTAGGTAGTAATCAGTTGTAGTGATGCATACTAAAATATGTACCTCTACCATCCTCTACTACTGTATCCGATAAAGCAACAAACGACCCCACACGTCCACCAAGAAGGTTGGCCATTGCACGGCAGAACCTTGCGAAAAACTACTAGAAAGCAGCACACAATCCCCCTGCCCACGCTAAGTTAGCAGTTGCCAAGCCAAATCACGCAGGACCCCACTTATTGCACGTTCCCTATGGAATCGTGCACGAGCCACTGTAAAACAGCGCACAACTCGCTGCATCCAGAAAGAAGAGGTTGGCGCTTGCAAAGCAAAGCGTGTTCAAACCATCAGAAAGTGATGCACAAACTACAGTCAGAACTTGCGAAGCCACTTTAAAACAACACGAAACTATTGGCACTTGACAAGCGGAATCGTGCGAAAACATGAAAAAAGGATGCACAACCCCTCGCGCACACGAGACTAGTGAGCCGATACACATGGGTCTGCTCGCACTTGCGAAACGCAATCGCGCCGAACACCATGAAACGACGCATCTCGACCAACAAGAGCACGGCGAACAACACTCGCTAGCCCTGGCCCCGCCTTAAAAATTGATTGGCTCATATTTGTGTTAGGGGAGTACCGCATGCCATTATCCAGCACAAGGCTTGATTCCCCCATCATCACACATCGTATCATCCAGCAAAAGGCTACGTTCCCAATCAACCATTCAATAATGCAAAGCAGTCCGCCGAAAAGTCCTTCAATCAACATTTGGAGAGCCAATCGATGCAAACACTGCGATAACAAGACTCACAAAATGTCAAGTCATGACAAGCGAGAAGGTCTGAACCATGAATTGGGGCACAAATGCATGCTGTCTTCTAAATGAATAGTCAGCCGGCCTTAGCTCAGAGCCAAAACACCACCATGCACCAGGTGGACCACCTCTACACACAGTTGGCCTGCGGCTGCGGAGGGCTGCCAGGGCACCGGGCTGCATGCCAGGCCTCCGGCAGAGCACTACTAGCAGTTACTAGCAGCTGAAGCCTCAGTTGCTCCTGTTGAACCTTGGGTACGGGAAGGTCGCAAAGAGTCAAAAAACAAACCTTTCCAAACCGGATGTTCGTCCATCCGTCCCAGAACACTGTAAGGCCTCCTGTTGTAAACCTTCAGCCCATGTGATCCTATTAGCGAACACAATATTGACCCGTATTCACAGCGGTTCGCATGCCCCGTTCTCGAATAGCCAGTCACGTCTCGATATTAAAAACTGTAGCAAGCTTGCAACCCTACACCCATGGCCCTGTCTACTGTTGGGACGCAGTTTTGTGACCCGTTCCCGCCGGCACAAGGCGCTCATGCAGGCTGGCGGAACAGCTCCTCAGCTCCCTCTGTGTGAGGTTGAAGAGATCCTTGGCTTCATTTCGATCCAGCGGGTGTCACAACGACTACAGCCATCAGATTGAAAAGAAGGGAACCGGATGGCAGCCAGCAGAAATATCATCAGATTATATTGGATCAGTAGACTTCTTGGTGGTGGTGGTGGTGGTGGTGGTGGTGGTGGTGGTGGTGGTGGTGGTGGGGGTGGCGGCGGCGGCGGCGGCGGTGGTGGTGGTGGTGGTGGTCATCGTGGTGGTAATCATCGTCATCCTTGCCGCAACAGTCGTCGCCCCTGTGGTCGTCATCGTCACCAAGCTCGCTGTCCATATCGTCGCTGTCCTCTTTCACATCTCTCGCCCGTGTCTCCTCATTGTGCTGATCATCCTGGTCGTCACACCATCCACCGTGATCATCATCATCATCAACAACAACAACAACAACAACAACAACAACAACAGCAACTCCTCGCCGTCATTTCTATTGCCATCTTCCTCAGTATCATCCGCATCATCATCACCACCATCACGGTCATCATCAAAACAGCCCCCATGACAAACAATGCAGCCCCTCGCATAAACGTGGTCAGCGATTAACAAAATGACTGCTCACCTTCTTTGCAATCGATGAGCTGGAGGCAGCGGCTGGCCATCAGGGCACCGAGCCTGCTCCTCACGGAGGCTGTCGAAGGAGCTGTGGGCGCAGGCCTAACTGAGCGGACCGGTGGACAGATGCGGACAGCAAGCCCGATCAGCTTCCCAACCGTGCCTCGAGGGGCTTGATGCGAGCCTCGGGGTCGTACCTGTACGCAGCTGCAGCGAATCATGGACTTCAAGCCTGGTCCCTGAGACGCCAAGTCGGTCGTGAGGCTGATGTTGCTTCAACACAGGTGACGCGCACTGAAGAAACTCCGTCAGCAGAGTGATAAACCTCATGCAGAGAATTCTTGCTTTGCCAAGCAGTACCGCGTGGTGGATCATTTAAACATTGGCTTGAGCTGCCCACTCCGGTGAAACGTTTCTCCGAAACACCGTGCCTGAGAAGCACACCAAGTCTGGATACCAAAATATGACAAACTTGCCTCAGCTTCCACAGCATCTCTACTTGCTTCTCACGGGGCAGTGGCTCCAGCTGCATGCCGGAACTGTCGGAAAAGCGAAGCTGAAGTACCTGAATGGTGTTTGTAGTTCAAGAACCAATGATCCTTCATCACTGCCTTCTGCACATAGGGCACTGAGGATTCATCGCCAGGACCTGCCTTCGAGACGGCGAACCCAGAACCTCAGGGCTCATTCCATGTAGTTGCCAAGCGCCCTGAAGTGTACGCATGGTTCATGTCTCTTCCTTCTGTTTGCATGTACCGTTTTGTGTACAAATTGAGCCTCTGAACCCGCTTGTAAACTAGAAAACTCTAGAAAAGAGAGCACGGCTTTACTTGGCCTTGACAATCTCCACCAGCTGATCGACTCCATTCTCTCCAGGGAATAGCGGTCGCCCTGCGGTAGAGATGCGCAAGTAACACTCTTTCGCTCCGTTGTGAGGGCGTCTCGTGGAGATCACCAGAAGCCGCGATCCATCCCAAATGTTGACTGCGCGCATTTCATAACGGAGTCTCATGCTTCAAGTAATGTGTACATGCACACCAAGACAAGGATTTGATGTCTGGATTGCATGTTCTCCGATGCGGATCTTCTTTGAACTTCTGTGAAGGGCATTGGCATCCTAGCACACACCAGAACATTTTGTCAAGCGCCTGTGCAATGGGATGGGTATCTGTTGGGTGGTCTCAGGGTTCCTGGTGGCCTCGAAGCATCTCGGCCAACACGCAGCCAATCGACCAGAGGTCCACCGCTGTGGTGCTGCCAGGCAAAGGATTTTTTTCCGCATGGAAGCGCAAGCTGTGCGTACTGTCCGCAAGCTGGGGACCCAACTAATTTGTTGCACCGAAAATCAGCTCCGGCGCGCGGTAGTAGCGGGAGCATATGTAGGCGACCTGGGCGCTGGCAGCCAAGGCCCCGCCACGATGCGGGGAACTACAGGACCGAACTTCAATCTCTCTCTGTCTGAGGACATGTTTGCTTCCCTGCTTTGTCGCAGTGTTGAGACTAGTCCGCCAAGGCCGGAGACCTAGGGCGTCTTGATCCAGGTCCGGAGATTAAGAAAGTAAGTTGACCTTCCCCGTACCCCTCCCAGTTGGCACGTTTCCGGGGAAGGTGTCCAAACGGTTTGTTTTTTCGGTTTCTAGCGTGCGGCTGGTCTGCTGGGGTCGGAAATGCAGTTACCCCTAATCCAAGCACTGGATTAACAAAAGGGACCAATTTTGGGGTAAAGTTAGCCGCCAAAGACTAGCTACAATTAGGTGGCTTTTTGTATGGGGAAATGGGACGAGATTTAAAGAAAATGTTGGGGGACCCACCCTAATAGTAGGTTTAAGTAAGTAACTTAACCTACAGTAGCCGCAAAAGACTTACAGCTGCTGTTCAGTCTCGAGCTTACATTAGTACGAACTAATTCTGCAAAGCCTGCTGCTGCTTTAAGCTCCAGCTCCATTAGTCTTTGCTTCTTTTTACTGCTTTCTAAATCTTTAAGTCAAAGATTTTCCAGAAATCCAGGCCCTTCAGAAGGTTTTAGTTTCTTTTATGCCGCTTACTTAAAATCCAACATGTTTCATTCCGTCCTAGGCTACCCCTTACCAAGACTGCCCTACAGCAGCCCAAACCAGAATTAGAAAAGGGACCACATTAGTGGCAAAGAATTCTGCACTGCCTGCTGCTGCTGAAAAAATCCTTCAGCAGCAGTCTTAGCTTCAATTGCTCATTGCCTTTGAAATCTGAAAAACCTTTTCCAGAAGTCCAAGCCCTTCAGAAAGCTATGGTTTCTTATATGCTTGCTTACTTAAAACCAAAAATTTTCATTCTGTCCTAAGCTACCCCTTACAAAGGCTGCCCCACAGCAAACAGAACCAGAATTAGAAAAGGGACCACGTTAGTGGCAACAGAATTCTGCACTGCCTGCTGCTGCTTAAAGATCCTTCAGCAATGGTCTTTGCTTCAATTGCTTATTGCTTTAGCCCCAAGGATTTGTAATAGAGATTCAATACATTCCTATTTAGTTTGTTTTAGAGCTCCAAGAGCCCCAAGGATGTTTAATAGAGATTCAATACATTCCTATCCAGTTTGTACTAGAGCTCCAAGAGCCCCAAGGATGTTTAATAGAGATTCAATACATTCCTATTCAGTGTGTACTAGAGCTCCAAGAGCCCCAGGGATGTTAATAGAGATTCAATACATTCCTACTCAGTTTGTACTAGAGCTCCAAGAGCCCCAGGGATTTTTAATAGAGATTCAATACATTCCTACTCAGTTTGTACTAGAGCTCCAAGAGCCCCAATCATTCCTTTATTCTTTTAATCTGGCGTCCTCCATTTCTTATTCTGGCAGGGGGGCCCCCAAATTAATCCAGTGCTCGGATTGGATAGGGCTTGGGGGGGGAACATGGGGAGGGCCTCGGCGGAGGGGCTCAGAACTGCTGAGTCGTCCGCCAAGGCTGGACGCCCCTGGCTTAGCCGGGCCGCTGAACCGAAGTCACCTGAGAAGGCAGCCGCTTCTGCTTGCACTGGCTCAGTGCACGCAAACTGACGAAAGAATCATGATAATTCTGGGCATTTCCCAGAATCTGGCACAACATTTGCCCTAAAATCTGCGCAACCAACCATAATCAGCGTTCCCGCAACACTCTGGCCAACACTCGGCGGTGCTACGGTGTCCGGAGGACATGTTATAAGAGATCCTGGCACGATGCGTAAGACCCTGGACCCTGAAAAACTCAATTTGCTCATCAACCAACAAAAAGGACGCTTCATGAACAAACATCATTGAAGCAAATCACGCTTCACCAAAATATTAAAATTGGCATGTAATGTGTGCGGTTCTGTTTAACAGATGATGCATTGAAACAGCTCCATACGCGCATAGCACAGCTTGAGAGATGTAAGGCCCAACAATGTATGCAGGGATTCTCAAAGGTTTTGCGGCCTCGCCCACACATTCTGCAATGGGGGCCCGGCAGAGCTTCAGCAAGTGCCCGCGGTTTGCATCAACCAGCAAATTCTGTGGCCTGCACAGCAGGGGACGCGCAGGAAACAACCTTGCAGGCAGAAACGTGAGCAACAAACGACACGTGGTATGTCCTATGATCTGATGACCCATCTGCGGAGTCATAGATACTTCAGGCTTGCTTAATGACAGCACATGGTCCACGACTTATTGTCATCGCGCTCCGTGGACGCGGCTTTATGTCCCGGTGGACCACACCACTGGCATGCAGATGACCCAGCGCACGGCACGCCTGACCACTGGATGTTGTGTTGTAGGCTGGGTCATGCTGCATCCAAAGTCACTTTGTTCTCTTGGCCTGGTATGTGTAGAGCTGGATGATGATGCGAGGCATCTGCTGCTTCTGTTTGCCTGGCCGGTGTGGATCCGACATACCACGCCCTTCAAGAAACCCTGCTCCTGATTATTCTACCCACGTGACCCAAACATGAGGGTTTGGAACTGCCCAGGATCCACTGACTCAGGATGGTCCGCACCAGAACGCCAAGCTAACAGGATCATCCAAGCATGCAGAGACTACGCCCCAAATGACTTAGTGGCAGATCTGCCAAGTTGGATGACCCAGCATCCATGTTTTGCATCAAGTCAGAGGTCAACGCTTTCGGCCCAGCAGCTCTGCTTAGCAGAAATGATGGATTGCCGCAAAGAAGGTTTCGCAAATCGTAAATGCAACGTGCGCGCAAGCAGCTGTTGTCAACAACACCTACGAGCTGCAAACTCCAAAACGAATCCTGCGTGCTTGACTGTGTCTGCTGCCGCCGTTGCCAAGCATAAGTTTTGTACAGTGTGCACCGAAGATGGAGTTCTTGATTGACTGCGACCTGCTACTGAACCTTGAGGGTAAAAAAATGCATGCGTACAATGAACGATGCAGAGCCCATCTTCGGTTCTTGACCTATCTAGCTCTGGCTCCACTCCTCCCCGGCACTTCCGAGCAGTGCCATCTCAGCCGCCTTGCAGGATCCTCGCACAACGGCGACATACCGCGACTACGTGATTACGTGAGTGTGAAGGAGAGCTGGAACTATACCTCGGCTGGACCAAAGTCCAGTCTCTGTTGCCCTCGCTTGAAAGCTTGGCTCAATTCATATTCAATGCCCTTTTGGTGGGGGGCTCCTGTCACAAAGAATCGGCTTTTTGGTAGAGGTCCCTCATTTCCAGAAATGTGCTCCTGGCCTCCTGTAGATGGCCTCCCGCCGCTCCCAAAGAACCTTCACCTACCGATTGCGAGGAGCGAGGCTTCTAATCCACGTGGTTGAACCTCTGAGGCTTGCTGTTAAGGATGTTTTGCGAATTCTCGCTTGTGCCAGACTTGAAGGAATGATATTATGATTTCGAGGGGAGTTGAAGAGTCTTTCGTGGGGACGTGATATCAGAAAACTTGGGGAGGGCATTGTTTTTGCCGTGCAAGCCACGCGTTAACGGTCAAGCATTTCAATACTAGACATCAGCAGTTCGGGTCCCTACGTTGCAGATGCTTCAGGCCCTTGGGATGATAGTCGGACATTGCTCTGGTAAAGTGCAAGGACGGCAAGGAACCGCAATGCAAAAAATCAACCCAAAGCCGTAAGCCAGAGCCCAAATGCACGCAATGCGTGGCAGAAAGATTCTTGGGCCCTGGCTGCAACTAAAAAAGTTGCATGGCTTGCCTTCGTTTTTGGCAACAAGCAATTCGCGGGCCTCCTCCCAGCGATCACGAGACAGGGTCAGGAGCTTCCCAGTGGAGGCATCTGCGCACCTTTGAGGAAAAACGATGGAACACAAACGGTTATCCGATAAATTTGGGCGGGTCAGTAAGGGAGAACTGGAAATTCTAGGATAAGGGCAAAGGAAGTCAACGCTCAAGGACTGGCTGGATTTTTGTTTATCAAGCTCCCAGTGAGGAATTTAGCAATGGCATGCGGTGTCTGGAGGTCCTGTCGCAACGCACAACAAAGCTTGCAGGTGCCATGAGCAAAGCTTCAGATACGAGGGCAAGAAAATGTAGGCTTGAGAACTGTTATACACACTGGGTAGGCAGACAAGTACTTGTAGATGATGCCGCTGGGACCGTGGTAGCCCATGGACTTGATGGCCTCAGGGCAGCTGTTATCCGACTGCGCACGCAGCATGCATGAAGCGCACCAGCCTGGCACCACTCATCGTAGTCAATACTCTCACTACCATCCTCGCAGTGTGCTCACATGTTTCCATCATCCGGCAGCGGAAGCCACAGAAGCTTCATCTACAAGCAAAAGTCACCAGGAGTCATTCCGAAACCACAGACCCTGTGCACATCTGCATCCTTGTCCAAGAACTCGTAGGCTACCTGACAAGATCAGTGCCACAGCCTTAATATCGATGGCCAGGAGGCTTGCGAAAGACCTTCCACACAGGTCCCACTTCCCAAGCAAGCCTCCACACTGCCGAAGGTGCGGTCAACATACCTTACAGCTTCTCAGCTACTCAAACAACGCTGCTGCTCGGCAGCTTGTGTCTTGCCCAGCGGATGAAGCAAATGTATCAACATGGTGCGCTGCAGCAAGGCTCTCACTGAAGCAACTCCAGTATGGACAGTTGAAGCTCCTGAAGTTATCTGTGCTTGTTTGAAACAGCTTCACGCAGTTCCTGAGACAGTGCCTTGAGGAGGGTATCCATGACCTGCCACTCTTCCCAAGAAATGGATCCTGCAGATCTGGGCACAAAAGCAGCTTCTGCTCATGGCGTGATGTCTTGTCCCCATTAGATGGCTGTTTCCTCCCCACAAGCCACAACTACAGGGTTCACGCTCGCCTCCTCTATCTGGGTCCAGGTACCGGAAAAGCTCCACTGCCTTCTCCGAGTCTTTGAACCTTGGATGGCTGGCACCATCTTGCGTGCAGGCGGAGATGTCTGGGCTCCTGCTCTGGCCAGCCAAGTCTACCGAAGGCATCCTTGAATTCTCTCCTGGCATGGGCATGCCGTGCATGCCGGGCCCGAGGCCTTGCTCAGAAACCCGGCATGCGGTACATCTATGTCTATAGAAGGACAGCCCGCAACACGAAAGAAAAGCCCAAGAACAGGAAATGTCCGCCGTGCTCTCTGTGACCCTGAAGAAGCCATGTCAGCTCCACAATGACAGCTTGCCATTACCATCGGGCCTCCAGCCATGAAACAGCACAGGCTGAGATCAAGATTGGAGCAGCACCAACATATGTATCTCACCATGAAGCTCCAGGCCACAGACCCATCAATCATCTGGAATGCAGCACGCAAGTTGTGCTTAAAGTGGCGCATGACCTGAGCACAATCGGGCTGCACAAGCACCTGACTGACGCACCCAGCACAACTGCATGCCGCTCCATGTCCCTTCTTTTGCAGAATTTCACAATTACAGTCACAGGCTTAAGCGGACGGGGCCAACACGTGCACCAGGAAGGTGCTGACAGCCTCTGGAAGCGCCTCCAGACATACCAAAAGCAGGAGTAGAGGGAATTGTTCACGACACGAGGGTTGAGTAGAACCATGTGGCAGTACCTTACGCAAGCTGCATCCGATCTTTCCAAAGCAGCAATTTCATGCACAGACAGCTGACGATCAACAGCAATGACCGCCAGCACCGCAATAGTGGTACCATCTCGCCACTACCAGCACCACCGCCACCGCCGCCGTTATCATAACCTTCACCGCCACCAGCCAAGTGGCAGCAGCGGCGGCACCAGCACTGGCGTCAATATTTCAAAATCTTGCGGCACAAGGTATTGCAACAGGAAGCCACGGAGAGCCACGGCAAGCACACTACCGCATGCCTGCACATCTCCCCACCAAATGATGTTGGAGCTGGTGATCTCGGCATTCCATCCCCTGCAACACATACGGCTGGCCAGGCACGACAATGCAAACAAGCACACAGCAAGTGCGGACCCGTATCTGAGCACGTTCTCCAGCCGCATGTCCAGGCTCCGATCCTTATATATGTGCACGGGCGATAGCAAGTCAAGCATGCGTTCCCATCCATTCACGCTCTTGCTGAGTCAAAGTTCCTCTGGAGAGGCCATGTAGTGCCAACTCAGCAGACCACTTGGTATGGTCCTCGGAAGCAGCTCCAGTTTGTTCAAGCTTTCATGTTGCCCCATCGCCACTTCGGAGGCTACGTTCTCTTCCACGACTACGTCTGCTTGTTCATCATTAATGGCTTAGCGAATTAAAGCAATCTGCCAAAGCTGAACCGGGGCGTTTGGATCTAAGACCAGGACTCAGGCCCCTCCCCTCCCTCTCTCCCTCCCCTCCTCTCCTCCATGCCCCCCATCCCCCCTGCTCTTTGGCTTGTTTCCTTTCTTCCACTTCCTCGCGCTTTGCTGCGCTCCGCATTTTCTGCTTCCCTGAGCCTCATGCTCCGGAAAGATCCAAAAAGCCAACATATCCAGCAGAAGCTTCTGACTGCCATCGGCTTCTGATTGCGAGTCTGCTGTCCTTTGTGGATGCTAGCGCGCTACGCACTAGTGCTTCCCTTCGCGTCTTTCTCCATGAGACCTATGGATGAGAACCTTGGCCCGTGCCTCGCCTCCGAATTGGTTCTCGATCTAGCAGTTAAATCAAACCGATTTTTCAAGAGCCAATTCTTGAAGTGCGCTCGCTTCGCAGGACGGGAAGTGAATGAATTAAATCATGCCACTAATGAAATTGGGTTGACCAAGCCGGACACGATGCCAGAAAGATTTGCTTCAATCCGACGGCTGTGTGTTGCAGCCACATTAACAATGAAGTCATGAGCATTGAATTTGTCATTTTCTAATCCTCACTGGAACCCGGTCTGGATGTCTGAATTGTAGCCAAAGCTTGCTCTGTGAATCTTCATGACATATTGCTCGAACCCACGATACGTCCTTAATCTGTATGATCACTGCTACTGACCTCAGATGCAGGCGGCATGTCTTTCCAGGAGGCCGGTACCTTGGTTGGAAATGTGGAAAGTACCGCGCAATTTTCATGAATTGGAGGAGGTTTCGTTGGCTTGTTCCTCAGCATCTACGGATGACATACACCGACCAGTGGGGGTCACAATTGCCTTCAGTGGACTCAAACCTTCGCGAACACAAGCTGTGAGGTTCAACCTGAGCTCTTTGGCCTGCTGAAGCCCAGCATCCATACGGCTTGTCAAGATATGAGACTGCAAACAGCCCGATGCAAGTGGAGTCAACAAGGGTCGGCTGCTGCAAGCACCTTCTGTTTCTCTTGCAAATTCTTTGCGCTTGCTGGTCTTGCTTACCAGACAGAAGGGGCTAGCTCTCATGAATCGTTGTGCGGCGGGCAATTCGAATAAACAACATGGCCCATCAAAGTCTGCATGTTTGCCGAACTCAGTCCTCACAAAACTGTGTCGAATTCACAAC